GGTCTTTTCTAAGATTTGGTTCGTTGACGGCGGGCTTCAGTCTTTCAAACAATACACTCGATAAGACCTTGTAACTTATGCTTAGAAGGCTCATTCCGCGGTAGTTGGCGCGTATGGCGGGATCGCCTTTCTTGTGGATTGGGCAGAGCACATCTTAATTCCAGTGGTCGGGCATGCGGTCATCTGACCATATTCTGCATAAGAGTTGATGCATGCACCTTATCAGCTCTTCGCCATTGTACTTGAATAGCTCAGCTGGTAGGCTGTCAGCTCTAGCCACTTTTTTGTTTTTCAGCCGCGTAATCGCTATTCGTACCTCGTCATAGTCAGGCGGTGGGACATCGACTCCATCGTCTTCGACTGTGGTCTCGGGTTCGCCTTCTCCACTACTTTCAGCGCTACTACCATTCAGTAGGGTGGAAAAGTGTTCCGTCCATAATGTAAGTACGTTGTGGACATCGGTCGCTAGGTCGCCATTGTTCTTACAAGAGTTCGCCCTGGGCTTGAAACCTTCTGTAAGTCGCCTAACCCTCTGATAAAGTTTTCGGGCGTTTTCCCTGTCGGCCAGCATCTCAAGCTCTTCGCATTCACGTATTTCGGCCTCTCTTCTTATTGCGGCTAATACGCCACGCTTCCTTCTTCAGTTGCCTACATCGGTCTCCCATGGCTCGCGTTGCACCCGATAGCAGCGTTGTCTTGTAGGCGGCATCTTTTTTCTCTGCAGATTCTTGACACTCCTCGTCGTACCAGTTGTTCTTACAAGCTCGCTGAAATCCGACTACTTCTTCGGCGGCGGTACTTAATGAACGGGCAATGTGGTTCCACTGCTCGCGTATGTCGGATTGTTGAAGAGTGCTCTCAGAGAGACGGTGTGAGAGTCGAGTGGCGAATAAATTGGCCGTCTGTTGCGATTACAGCTTTTCGACCTTAAGCTTTCCTTATACTGTTGGGCGCACATTTTTTGCTGCGCAGAGGCGAGTGCGTATCTTGACTGCAACAAGTCGATGTTTGGCCCTCGGACTGTACATACGTATAAAATACTGAAAGCGTGCCTTCCGTCTATCATAACGCTATCGATTTGGTTTCTCGTTTTTCGATCTGGAGACAGCCATGTAACTGGATCTCTTTATGCTGGAAGCTAGTTTCGGGCCCTGGCGAAGTCGATCAGCCTCAGCCCTTTATCGGACGTTTCGTCGTGGAGGCTGAATTTTCCGACAGTGGCGCCAAAGATCCCTTCGTTGCCCATCTTGGCATTGAAATCGCCAAGCACAATTATTATACGCGCGGCGGGCAATATATACGATCTAAGTGCTCATTGAAGAGATCCTTGGATGCCTCGTCCTTCTCTTCCGTTGGGGCATGGGCGCAGATGTGCGAGATGTTGAATAATCTCACTTTGAAGCGGATTGTGGCTAGACGTTCGTCCACTGGTGTGAACGCCAGTACTCGGCGACGGAGTCCCTCTCCTACCGCGAATGCAACACCGAAGTTGCCCTCCGTGCCCCGTCCATCGCATTTCTTGGATGGCGGTGATGTCAGCCTTTGTCTTCCCTAGGACATCAACCAGCCGGGCAGAGGCACCTGCCCGTACGCCCAAGAAACACTTCTGGCCACTCCCAGGTGAAGTCTGCTCAGAAAACAATTTTCTCGCTCCCTCTTGACAAAATCGGCTCCTTTAGCAAGGTACCGTGCAGCGTCCGGACTTTGCTCCGATCGGGGCAGATTTACTCAGATTTATTTTTTTTTAATTTAAAATCTACTCCCTACTCCGCTTGTCCCATATGTATATATATATATAGCATTTTCAGTTTAAATGAAACTTTTTTCAAATTAAATGAAACCTTTTTCAGATTAAGCGAAACTTTTTCAAATTAATTGAAACCTTTTTCAGATGAAGCGAAACCTTTTTCAAATTAAATGAAACCTTTTTCGGATTCAATGAAACTTTATTCAAATTAAAAGAGACTTTTTTCAGATTCATTGAAACTTTATTCAAACCAAATTAAACTTTTTTCAAATTAAATGAAACTTCATTCAAATTAAGTATTAAACATTTTTAAATCAAGGAACAGGAAATCAACTTAACCTATTAAGAGCCGTTTGCACCATGTCTGGCTGACACTAAAGGCTCTGTTATGCATACTTGGCATTGCTTGAGAGTTGTCACATAAGGAATCTGTTATATAAATGAGCTTCGCGTGTAAGCTGTTAACCAACGCACAGCATTACATACGTAGAAGTCTGTTGTTTACTCTTCTGTAATTTGGGCCACCAACAAGCTGCGTGAATTGCGATTTTGTCTTTAAAATATCAAAACTGGTTTCTCAACCGCTATGCATATGAAGAAAATGTATATATGTATAAACAAACAGTGTTGCCACTCATAATTTTTTTCCTACCACAATTGGTACAAAATAGCTCTCAGCCTACTAAAATGTGACTTACATTGAAAATGTGATTTAAATGTTGTAACATATGTAAGTAGGTTCAACACTTTATTATAACAAAATCAAATAAAATTTACTTGTCCATAATTTGTCTTCATGCGCAACTCTTTTTGGGTAAAATGAAAAAAAAGCGCGAACTCAAAGTCAAGCGTTGATAATTACATATTTTTCCTGTTGCTACACGAATTCGAAGCTGTCAAGTATTATTTTCTTAAGGAAGAAGAGGGAAATAAAGTACAAATACTCTCCCTTCTCACTCACTCGCTTTAGCGAAATGTAAAATTTGGGATTTGCATAACAATTGTCTAATTATTTTCTTCTAACTTAAACAAACTCTATGGATTAGAGCACAGTCTAATCACGGCAACATTCACCTTCGGTTCAAGAATAATTTTGGCATGTCCCATTTCTCTTTTCCTTTTCACATCATCCTTTACATTTACTCCCGAAAACAGAGATATTTGAAGTTTTATAAAATGAATAAATTATATGATTTGCCTAGTTACCAAAACCCCTCGAAAATCACAACAAACCAACCAACCTACCAAAGCCTTATTTTAAGAAATGAAACTACCAATTTTGGTCCAATTGGGCCGAAACGGCAACACTGTATTCAACATGCCTTGACGGGAGAGCAACACGTAACAGTTTCATTTCATTTGAATAAAGTTTCATTTAATTTGAAAAAAGTTGAATTTAATTTGAATAAAGTTTCATTGAATCTGAAAAAGGTCTCATTTAATTTGAATAAAGTTTCACTGAATCTGAAAAAGGTTTCATTTAATTTGAAAAAGGTTTCGGTTAAAATTAAAAAAGTTTCATTTTATTTGAAAAAGGTTTCGCTTAATTTGAAAATGGTTTCATTTAAACTGAAAATGCTATATATATATGCTCCGTTTCTTTTTTTATCTTTTTTCCATTCACATTAAGAATATATTACAAAATAATATCGTAACTTCTTAAATTTTTGATCAATAACTTCTGTGGCAACCACCAAGGTTTTGTATAGCAAGGTGTAACAGAAGTCTTTAACATTCCTTGCGGAATCACTTTTTATTTATCAAAGCAGGAACCAGAAAAATGTGTTGCATGTTTAGAGAGTATATGCTGACGTTAGCTATTCAACCGCACAGTAGTGCTGCTGCCGAAAAAAAATTTTCAGAGATATCTCATTAAAAATAAATACAGGAACAGGCTTAATAGTCTAAGATCATTCACCCATCTGTTTAAAAAAATCTTTTTTCTGTGAAATTTAACGTGTTAATAAATATTTTGCGAGTGGGTTGCCTGAAAAAATCCTGGCCAGGATGTTTTTAATTATATATTCAAAAATTATTATTATTTTTTAATTTTGTACTCATTTGCTTAATGAAAAAATTATATACCAATCGAAAGTATTAAGCTTATAGAATGTAAACACGTTGGGTTGTATAGTTTTTTCCTGGCCTACCTATTGCGTTGGTAGGTATGAACAGGTAGGTAGGTAATATTAGTAATTTTCACTCATCTGTTTAACAGATTCTATAGACTTTATGTTTTCGATTGGTATAAACAAATGCTGCCTTTGTTTACCATTTCAAACAAATTGACCACGAATAAATATTAAAGCTTTTTATTTGTTACTTTAATGAAATATAAATTTCTAAACAGACAAAGGATTTGAATGTTCAACAACGATTGAAATAACATCGAATCACTTTTTACACCTCCAAAACTCTCAGCCGTCCAATTGCGGCCTATCGTCCAGCGTCACTTGATATTCTCCACTCTCCCTATTTAAATTAGCTTTCTGGTATTCCAAAAGAACCAATGTATTTCCTCCGATTCGCAGTAAATCCTTAGGCAGATATAGCGTCAACTGAGGGCCGACTAATGGCCAATAGCGTCCCAAATTAAAACCGTTGATATAAGCCACGCCTTTGCCCCAACCAAGGGGGTTTAAATAAGTGTCGCCCAGTTTTTCCACTTCGAATTCGCCGTAATATACCACGGGTCCATTACGTAGAACATTGCTCTTTGACGCTAATTCGGTTATCATTTGGTGCTTGTATGCATTTACTAATGTTGTAATTTGTTCACTCTCCAATGGGAAAGATGTTGTCACCCAATCTTTGAGCTCCTGCTTTTCGCCATTCAAATGCTCCACTGTTATCGCGCCCAAAATACCTTTTGTATCATTTAGCGTCTCATAATTGATGCGTCCTTGATTCTCTACCAATAACTGCAAGCGACTGCCTAAACCTTTACTTAATGGCATTGACGAAATACCGTTCCTACGCGACAAAGTGCCCACTAATTCCTCATTTACAAACACATAAGCGCGATCATGCAATTCGTTGACTGTGAGAACGGTGGGATCGATTTTTAAATGCGGTAATTCAGTTTCATACAACACCAAACCCGAGTATTGATCGAGACTCTCAAATGTAAGCGGGTGCTCTGCTCTGACCGGCTTTCCATGTGCCAATGTTGTACGCCCCAATTGGGAGAATAAACTACCGATTGGGCGCAGATTGACTATGCCATAAGAGCGACGCTGTGTAGATATGCAGCCATTGCAATCTTGTTCGGGTTGCACTTCCAGAAAATCTGCTATTACTTTGCGTACGAGCCAGAATTTTTTGGTTACATTACCCGCCTCATCCATTACTGCATCGTAATCGTAGGAGGTAATATCTGCAGCAAAGTCTTTGCTGTAGTTGTTGGCACCAGCTGTAAAGCCGAAGTTGGTGCCACCGAAGAACATGTAAAAATTAACGCAAGCGCCTGCTTCTAGCATTAGCCTGTAGAGAAAAAGGGAATTTAATTCTACATTCATACATATGTGTATATTAGGGTGGGTCGGTTTTGTATGGTGGGGAGGGGGGGGGGGGGGTTTTGAAGACATTAAGATAAAACTTACAAAAACTATAATTTTCCCTTATGAATTTTCAATTTTTCATTATTTCAGCAACCAAGTGAAATATACAAACAAGTGAGACGAGATTTACTTATTTCAAACGGTATAATGTTATCGGATGTTGGTCAGTTTTTAAGATCGTGGTAAATGAAGTCAAACATGTATTGACAAAGATTAGGAATCGTTTGATAAGTTAATAGTAGTTTCAAGCATATAAGTATTTACATATATTAACATAATACAATTAGGGTAGGAAATGCCAATTTTAGGTCCATTTATGCAGTCTTGAAAATTGGTGCCGAATGGTTTCATTAGTCCCCGAAGAAGCACATTTTTCGCGGTTTCTAAAATTTGTCGTTACATGAAAGTAGGCGACGCGCAATAAGTGTTTAGATATGCATAAATATTTTAGTTAATTCCATTATGAGAAAAAGTGACTGTAGGTAAATGCAATAGTCTTTAACATATCCTGGGAAATCCTTTTGAGAACTCTCCAATTGGACGATATTGCTTTGCCTTCAGCTTGCACGAAAAAAAAACACACTGGCACACTTTTCTGTAATCGCGTTCTTTTATTTAAAGGTTATTTATACAATTGAAGAGAAATTTGTTTAGAAAAAGACTGGAGATCCGCTTAAGTTTTTCGATATAACTTTCGTACCGCTCGATCGGTACGTAATAATTACCAAATTGAAGACGAGATTTACTGTTACTGATTTATAATAATAATATGATGAAAATCGCTGAGATTATAAACAAATTATTTTGAATAAATTTTTTTTTGTTATTGTCCTATATTTGCAATTTTTATATTGTATGTATAAACATAGGTAAACTAATTAGTTTTTCTAGAAGTTCTGCCTGTTCAGTGTTTCCATACTCATTTGCATAAACAAAATTTTTCCACGATAATGGAAAATAATGGCTTTTCTATTAGAACTACCTAAATTGTTCCTAAATTTACAAAAATTCGCAAACTATAGCTAGTATTAAAAAAAGATTAGAATATTTGGAACCAGCGACCTATCTGCACGCCAGCAATATTAATGCTGTTCTTATCAAGAAAACAATTAAAATTTTATTGAAAAAAGATAACTTTGAGATTAACCCTCTAGTAGGCTGAACCGCCTCCAGACGGACGTTAACTAAACACCTTTTTAGTGCACCTATAATAATTTTTTTCTATATTCGTAAGGCACGATCTTTAGACAAAAATCGTACCCTTACGGCGAAGTAAATTTGAATCCGTTAAATCAATCCGTTTTATTTTAATCGGCAGTTGAATTACAGATTGTGAAAGACACGGTTAAAATTAATTATTTCTTGCTATTTAGTAATTTCGTAATTAAAGGAATTTTTTTTTTTTTGAAAAATTTTTTGATATAAAGAAATTTGGTGGATTTTGTAGTTAAAAGCACCGTATTTTGATATAAGTTTTATAATTATGTTACCATTCGAAATGGAGAAATTGCTTTCGAACACAGACCGTCTACAGACCGGCTTGCCGACATATAAAAACCCAGTTTGCATTTTTGACCGTCTGCAGGCGGGATTGCCGGTTCGTAGGTCAACATTGTGTAAGATAAAGCTGAAAATACGTCAAAGTATATCGGCGAGCCCGTCTCCCGACGGTCTTGGTTTTTCTCCTCTGTAGGAAAAAGTTACTGTCACAGATCGAAATGGACATCATTTTTGGATTTCTCGTGCTAAAATCACCCATTCCTGAATTTTTCAACTCATAAAAAAATTGGCCTACTAGAGGGTTAACGATAAGCCAAAGGGCTGCGAAAAATGATACATATTTGACTTTATCTTTTGCGTTAACGTATTCGTTATCTGGTAATATGCACCGAACCTTTTTGCTGAACCAAACATTTTTTAATAAGAATTGGTCGTATTCGACTAGTGTGCTGTGGGTCACTTGGCGGTCGATGCGCGGGCTCTTACAATTAAAGTAAAAGACTAATATTTTGCAGACTTGTTGTTGACTTCATGATATAATATATTTTCACTATTACCAAGGGATTTGAGAAAAATTAGATTTTCGACCCGCCCTAGTGTATACTACGTACATAAGTATGTAAGTATAAATATTATAACTACCTGCTTACCTCAATGAATTCGCGACCTCATTGGCATTTCGGCGTTGGTTTTCCTCTTCCCAGTGGGTTAACCAACCGGGATAGAACTCTGAGTTTACTAATGGTCCGGTAGGTTGGACACTACGCATTGCTTTCCATTGGTCATCAAAGTTTGAACCTGCGGAGAATTATAACAAAATGAATTGCCGAATATTAAATATTTCCCGTTATGCATACGCACCTATTCCGAAGTCGATGGTCGCGTATACTCCTTCAATCTTTCCACACTTTAAACCGTCATTGGGTTGGTCAGTTGTGAAGAGCACAGCTTTGCCTTTGACATATTTCTCCGTCTGATCTCTCAGCCAAATCAAATGTTTGGTATCGCAAGCATAAAAGGCGCCGTATTCATTTTCTACCTGCACCGTTATGATCGGGCCACCATTGCCATAGAAGAACTTTTGCATCCGAGGCATAAGTTGGGCATACCATTTGCTTACCTCTAACTGGTAGTTAGGGTCACTGGTACGCATCTTTATTCCAGGGTACTTTGTAAAAAGCCAGTGCGGTAAGCCGCCCTGTTGGATATAAGCGGTTTGAGAAAATATTTGCTTAGTATTACTTCAATGTAATTTTACATTATCACGTTCCGCGCAGATATAAGGTCCTGGTCGTAGAATGACATAGAAACCAGCGTTCTGTGCTAACTCTAAAAAGCGCTCGATATCTGCAATGCCTTCCCAATTGTAGACTCCGTCACGGGGATTATGCAGTGACCATTCAATATAGCTTAATCAGGAAAAATGGATAAAAAAAACTTTGTTTATTTGTGTAAGATGTGCGTAATATTTTTTACTTTAAGACTTCTGATATAAAAAGGTTTAGTTTGCTCCCTGTATAAAATTTAGCTCTGAAATGCTAAGCATGCAATTTATGATTCAATAGTTGCGTTCCTTAAATCCCAGTAATAGTCAGAAGTAGGCAGATTTATTCCGAAAAGCGCTTTTTAAATTGAAAATGACAACAGGAATGAGAGAGCAACTGTAACTCTCTTCAGTCAGAGGTTACAAGCTTTAGCCAGAAGAATTTTTGCTGGCAAAATCTTGAAAATGTCAAACTCAACTCAACTGAATTTAAAATAACGAAAATTAAAAAATAAACAAAAAGTGAGAATAATCTAAAAACTAAAAAAAGTGAATTGAAAATGGAAGGAGTCAAAAAATAATTGATGCAGTCATGGCCAATTTCAAATGAATATTTAAACGGCACTTAAGTTTAATTTTGGATTGTTATTTAAATGCCATTTAACTTTCGTTGTGTTTCAGATCAACTTTATCCAAATATGCCAAACAAGTGGCAACACTGTTGCTTGCTCCTTGAAATTGTTGTTGCATTTGTTTGTTTGTTTGTTTACATTTTGTACTGAACAGGTGATTGTTCTTTGGCAAGACTGATAAAACAACCTATCTATCAATCTTGGTCATTTGGTACAAACACAGGTTTGCATATCTCATATTTAAGTAGCCAATATCGGTCATTTAAGTGCAGATTAAATGTATGATCTGAAAATGAATTTTTGAAGTTAATCAACAATCTCTACTTAAATATACGATCTGAAATTGGACCTAAGTGTTTATTGTGCTTGTGTGAATGTCTCTTGTACATACATTTCTATTTTTATTTGACATTAGTATTGTTGTGGAAATTCTTTTGACAAAAAATTTTTTTTTGCGTTCCTTTACTTTTCCTGTCATTCTCTTTTATGCTTTTGCATTTTAACACTTTTCAGGTTTTAGTCAGAAAAGTTAAGGTATGGACCTATTAATAGACATATTGATTTAATAATTGAATCATAATACTGATGAGTTTCATGGTGAAATTATAACAGGTGAAGTAATAAAACTGCTTTGTCGCTTTATTTTTTTTATTCTCTCGACATTCGGCTATCTTCTGGAAATTTCTAAAGGCAAATTTTTAAATAAGATAGTTTCATATCTTTTTCTCGCTCATATTACTTCACCTGGTAAAATTTCACCATGGATGAGTTTGAGCTTTTGACATCTTACTCGAAGTAAAAGTGCGAAAAAATTAAAGAAGGCGTATGGGGCTCAATATTTTTGCAAGAGAATGCTTTCAAGTGGTTCCCCCATCTTGGATGTACTAAATAAGGCTGTGGTCCATCGGTTAATTCCACACGGTTCATTGGTTTCGGGGAAGAACATTGAGCCGAATTTTACATTTACAGTACTAAGCAGAGTGCAAAGGTCAGCTGCGTTTCGAATACTGGGAATATTATATTATGTCCAACGTAAGTCAACAATATCTCTTTTTGTAAACGGCGTCATGTTGGATTCAAACGGATTTTTATAAAATAGCCTGCAGCGGTTACCAAGATATACACATTTAACCATAAGTGGGCGCGGCTACGCCCATTTTCCAAAAATTTATAATATTCTTATTTTTCGTCTAAAACTTATTGTAAATATCAATTTTTAGTGAATAATCTTCAGCAGTTACTAAAATATCGCAGTTTTCGTATTTTTGAAAATTACCGTTGTATGGGAGGTAAGCGTGGTTATTGTCCGATTTTGCCAATAGCCAATATCGGTCATTTAAGTGCAGATTAAATGTATGATCTGAAAATGAATTTTTGAATTTAATCAACAATCTATACATAAATATACCATCTGAAATTGGACCTAAGTGTTTATTGTGCTTGTGTGAATGTCTCTTGTACATATGTTGTGTGGGAGGCAGGCGTGGTTATTGTCCGATTTTGCCCATTTTCAATACCATCCGTCCTACGCCCACAAGAAGTGCACGTACCAAGTTTCGTTAAGATCTCTCAATTTTTACTCGAGTTATCGTGTGCACAGACTGACGGACAGACAGTCACCGCTTAATCGATTTCTCTTTTCATTCTGATCATTTATGTATACAAGTGCGCTCGGGTATTAAAATAATAATTTTCGGGACTCGAATCTTCGACCTGCTACTGCTACTGTACTCCTATCGTCGACGCTGTCTAAATCGAAGATTTCGTATTTCTCTAAATTACCGTTATGTGGGATGTGGGCGTGGTTATTGTCCGATTTTAAAAATTTTCGGCCATTTGATATGCTGTACCAGGGCCAACAACTGTGCCAAGTTTGGAAGAAATTGGTGCAGCCATTGCCAAGATATACACATGTAACCATAAGTGGGCGTGGCTACGCCCATTTTCCAAAATTTTTTAATATTCTTATTTTTCTTCTAAAACTTATTGCAAATATCAATTTTGAGTGAATATTCTTTAGTAGTTACTAAAATATCGCAGTTTTCGTATTTCGGAAAATTACCGTTATATGGGAGGTAGGCGTGGTTATTGTCCGATTTTGCCCATTTTCAATACCATCTGTTCTACGCCCAAAAGAAGTGCACATACCAAGTTTCGTTAAGATATCTCAATTTTTACTCGAGTTATCGTGTGCACAGGCGGACGGACGGACGGGCGGACGGACGGACGGACAGACAGTCACCGCTTAATCGATTTCTCTTTTAATCCTGATCATTTATGTATACATTTGTCTATATCTATCTCGATTCGTTTTGCCTGTTACAAACAACCGTTATGTGAACAAAGTTATAATACCCTTGTGCACAAGTGCGCTCGGGTATAAAAAATGTTTTCCAGCAATGAATCGCAATTGCTAAATAAGGGACCACTTTTCTTGAATCGACAATTGTTAGCAAATGAATTACAATATTTGGAGCAAACATTTCCCGATTTTCGAGCTCAATGAAGTAAGTTGGGTTGGCACATATTTTTAAATTAAATACAAACGATTCTGTTTGTATGTATGTATACATAGATTTGTTCACTTGATTTAAAATGAATCGATTTGATTCCTTATATTTAAAAAGTTTCAGTATTCGAACAATAGACACAAGACCATTATTCGAATAATCGGAAGCGTGCGTTGAAATACCGTAAACCGGTTAATAACCGGTCGAACGAACATTCTCTGAATAATTTTAAGAGTCCTAGTTGCCACATTTAAGAGATTAAATTTTTTTTATGGGCATTATATTAGTAATGTGTTCATTAAAAAGTTTGACAAATTGTTACATACAAAGGGTTCCTAGGTTATAGCTCATTTTAAATATCAGGGACAAGGGAGGTGCCACGGTCTCTAGTCCAAACTCATCTCTATTTATCTTATAATGAGCAGATTTTTTAGTAAGGTGTCCACCATAATTTCATCGTGATGTGACCGTATAAGTGTCCCGATTAATAATATAATTGTACCGATTAAGTCCCGATTTTCAGTGTTTTTTTATTAATTTATTAAGACTCTCCCTGTACTCTGGCCCAAAAACAATTTTTCGTACAAACGGGGCGGCACTTATTAATAATATATAGCCAGCATCCTTACTAATAATATATAAATATAATTAAAGAAATTATAAAAAATAATACCAAATAATACCCGAAAAAGAATCGCGGATATGAAAAACATATGCTGTAGATAGAGTGGCGAAAATATAAATAGGGAAGAGACATTTTAGCTTTCTTTGGCTATTCCCCTTTTGATTATTTAACGTTTATTTCTTTTTATGAAAGTGTGGCTCGTTATCTAACAGAGATCATGTAAGTCAGAATTTGAAACTTTGTAGAAAAATTAGTAAAATTCGACAAAGTTTCATCAAAATTTTGAGCTTTTTAATTATATTTCTTAGAAACATTCTGAGTATGCAGTTTTGTAACCTATTAAATTCAAACTGCAAATTTTAAGTAGCTAGAACTTACCCTTGATACTAGGTAAATTTTGTGGAAGGTGTTGCTCATTTTCTCCAAACAAAATTTTTTTTAACATACTGTGTATGTTAATGGTAAGTAGTGATGTGCTGAGTCGGTACTTTTAAGTATTGATCGATACTCGGTACCGATTTGGAGAGTATCTAATACTTTCGATACTCGGTACCGACATATTGGAACTTATAATAAGACCCACCAATATGGAATAAAAGCTGTTATGTGATCGTTGAAGTTTTTATGAATCTCATTAATCTATGGTTAAAGAAGTCTATTTCTCCACATTGTTTGGGTCTGAACGCTCTCGTCGCTCGATTAATATCTGCCCGTTTTTTTGCCAGTAAGGGTTCGCTTAGAACGGTCGTCGTAACAATAATATGTAATAACATTTTAGCGTTTACACTTTTGCTAAGTATTTGGCTGTCTTTCACTTCTAATTTGTGGTATGTGTCTTAATGTTATATCTCAAATTAGACAGAAATACATTCAACTGTTGCTCAGACCAGGGATCGCACCCGGGTCCTAAGGAGTGGTAGTACGCGCCTCTAACTACTCAGCCACAGCGGCAACCACAATGCAAATCGTAATAAATATTCTTTGAAAAGAGAGTTGCCATAAGTATTACGAATTAACAATGTTGCCACAAGAACTGTTGCAGTTGGTAAGACTGTTGCGATAAGTACAAGAAGGCTCAAATACTAGCATACATATTGCTTATTTGCAGGTGTTTTTTTTTTTGCTTTGACAATGTGATATAAAATACCAATGACATTTTTTTCTGCAAACTTCAAAAGTATGTATATTATGACGAAGGTTCAATGTATCGAATCGGTATCGGTTACCGAAAGGAAAGTATTGGGTACCGACATTTTTTCAAGTATTGGGTACCGAGTATTGGGTATCGACAATTCAGCACATCACTAATGGTAAGTCCAAGCTTCTTCCAACTTGCACTTTATTATACTAAAATTAAATGGGCTTCAAAACATAGCAT